GCCCCCTCCCTCCTCACATCCAAGAAGAAATCACTGGGGCAGAACTGAGGGGGGCAACACCATCCCTGGGAGGCGAAGAATGAGACCGCGTCTTGAGCCTTGCCTGTATGGTGGTCCTGGTCAAGTCAGAGGCGTTCTTCCCTCCCTCCCTCCCGCCATTCCTCCCTTCCTCCCACCCTTCCCCCCTTCCCACATACCTGCGTAGATAATCCGTCCTTCCGAGACGAGGACGAGCATGTCGAGAAGATCGAATATGGAGGATCGGGGTTGGTGGATGGCTGGGAGGGAGGGAAAGGGGAAGAGCCGTGAGAGGACAAGGCAGGAAAAGCGAAGGAAATTCCGTTCAAAGCTGCCTGTTCTCCTGCGCTCCATCAATTTAGGCGGACCTCACACTGGACATGGCAGGGTTTAATGATACAACCGAACCAGACGTACGCGTTTCACTCTCGAGCTTCTCTCGAGCTTCGTTTGACCTCTCCCCCCCTTTCCTCCCTCCCTCCTTCCTTCCCAACCTCCCTACCCGCCACGACGGTGCGGCCGCTCTGAGCGAGTGACCCCATGGCACTCATGACGCTCTGCGCTTGGAAGGAATCAAGACCTTGGGGGTGGGAAGGTCGGGAGGGAAGGGGGGTGAGGGGGTGAGGAGGAAACGAGGGAGGGTGGGCCGGAAAGGGGGGAAGGGAGGCCCAGGGAGCGACATTGCATACGAGATACGCGGCGAACAGGCACCTTAGACCCGTATAATGAAGCCCTTTCCCCGTCTGAGTCGGCACTGACCGCTGGTAGGTTCGTCCAAGAAGAGCAAGGAAGGGTTCGAAATGAGCTCCACGCCCACCGACACGCGTTTCCGCTCGCCCCCGCTCACGCCCCGGACCTGTCCGTCGCCTGCACGCGGTAAGGGAGGGCGGGAATGAGGGGAGGGAGTGAGGGAAGACGAGGGGCAGGGCATGGGGGAGGGACAGGAGGCATTAGTATAGTATCTGGGCCCACTCCACTTCATCCCCACGCGCGCGCGCCCCCTCTGTGTGCCCGGTGTCTCCCCCTCTTTCCCTCACTCCCTCCCTCCCTCCCGCCCTCCCTCCCTACCAATGATGGTGTTCCGGGCCTTGGCCAGTCCTAAGGCGTTGATGACGTCCCGGACGTAGCTCGCCTTCTCCTCCTCCGAGAGGGCGGAGGGGAGGTAAAAGTGGGTGGCCAGCGTCAGGGTTTCTTGCACGGTGAGAAAGGAGTAGAGAACGTCGTCCTGGAAAGGGAGGGAGGATGGAAGAAGGGAAGAGAATGAGGGCTGCGACGCGCAGGACCATGCCACATGCACGCCTATCGTGACAATGTCACGTCGCACCTTCCTACTTTGGTTTTCTCCCCGCCTTGATCAACCATTCGTACCCTCCCTCTCTCCTTACCTGCACCACATAAGCGCACAACCGTCGCACAACCCCGTACTCCACGGGCATCCCATTCACTGAGAGTTCTCCCTCCAACGTGGCGCCCTTGATGAAGGCGACTCGCCCGGCCAGGGCGTTCAACAGGGAGGATTTCCCCGAGCCTATTGAAGGAGCAGGGAAAAGAAAGAAGGGCCAGCGGCCCGAAAGCAAGGTACACGGTCATTTACCACCAATCGTTAGAATCAAGAAAATCCAAATATCTCCATGGCACGACCATGAGTGTCAAAGTGCGCATGTCAGTCCAAGAATAGGCACTAGTTGAATAAATGCCGCGAACAGACGCCTACAGCGGGTCACGCCGCTCCATGGCGGGACACAAATTGCGACATGCGCATGCCAGACCCGCTATGCCCGCCCCGTTTGATTGGATATCGGACGGTACACACTTTATACTGTCCTTACCTGTTGGGCCCATAATGGCCGTCACCCGCCCCGCGGGGGCAGTGCCGGAGACTTGGTGCAATATTTCTTTCGTCTTACCCTTATTTTTCTTGCCCTTCAAGGGAATGGAGAGAGAAACTGTTGTCGAGAACGGGATGGGATTACTGTCAGATGATACGGTAAGCTGCACAGAGATGATGTTATGACTCACCTTCCCTCCACGACAAGCCCACGGGCTTGATTGGTTTGAGAGCCAATTGCTGGCCTGCCATTTCAGCCGCGACATCTTCAAGGGAAAATACACAGATAGGAACAAGGGGAAATACACGTAAGGTCTCATTGCTCTTTACATAGTCCATCTACTCGAGCCCCAATTATCCCTCCTGTTGAAGCGCCCTCTTCCTTGTGTAAGGCACCAACCAGTTTCTTTTTTCAAAAGCGGCTGCTCCCAATCGTTACAGTCCTCCTTCTGCTCCATAATCTATCGATTTGTGTGTGTCGTCAATGAGGAATCAGTATCGTTGCCCTTTATTGAAGAGGGCTGGAGGATATGATGGGCGCGTGCGTGTGCAAGGCAGCTAACATTGATTACAATGAACAAGACACAAAATAGGACCGTTCAGCGCAAATTGATAACAGAAGTTGAAATATCACGTCATATTACATACTGTCTATGGAACACGGCACCACGTCACCATCCTGGACGCTTTTGTGGCAGCCGGTCACGGCGTCATCACAAGATCGAGCGTGCTCTCAGGTTTCGGCCCATATTGCTCAGACTTGAGACCTACGACTCGAGGCGTTGCTAGCATCTGCCGCACCAACCATACCATGCTCTGCAGCGAAATGATAATATTGTCTGAATGTCCGTAGACTCTCATATTTAAACGCGGACCAGTATTTTTTCTATGTCTGGCTATGGCCCTAGACGTCCAACCTCCCGATCCCGTCAGCAAGCGTAATTAACGGAACATTTTGCTCGCTCCCGTGCTTCGAGTGTTTGATGTCTGCGCATGTTATTTCTTTGCTTGATCCATTCAGGTCAAACATAACATCCACCGACTCTGAGCGGGGTTGTGAAGTTCGCATTTGCATTCCCTTCTTCCATTCATTCCCGTTCCTCACTACAATTCTTCACATCTTTCCACGCGCAACTTCAAGCTTTCCGCTGCTTCTACCACACCTTCACTTCTAGCCCTTGAAAATCTTATCTGTAATGAAAAGCTATGAAAGTTACCTCTCGTGCCAGCAACATTGTTCCCTGTTCCACGTAAAAGCTTCACTTTTTGAGCCTCCTGATTTGTACACTGCTTCGGCAAGCTTCTTGATCTTTTATGATTTCCACCGACATATACGCTTCGACTTCCTCTCACACGACATTTTCGCTCGTATCACTGTCCCTACGGGCTCCCTTTCGATACAAGCAAAACGCAGTCCTGTCATCAGGCTCCTAGACCGCATGTTGAACCAGTACAGGCATTTAAAACATATTCTATGCCTCCCGTGCACCCTCAAAATAAAACTAATCTTCATATTTCTATGTGATTGGTTTGTATCCTCTCAGATACCATGCCTCTCTTTACGCCTTACGCTGTTCCATCAAAGTTCGATTCTCACCATAAATTTCCTCTCGATACAGCCCTCAATTCGACGTCCGTTGAGCTTCCGGCTTCCTCTGTACAAAGGCTTACACTACACTATGCTCTGTACCCTCCCATTCACCATCGCATCTCTTATCATGCTTGAGTGTTTGAACGCCTCCTGCACCTACGTCTCGGTCGCTCCCTTCCAACGTCGATGAAGGATTACACGTTCAGAGTCTTTTCATACTCTTCGATGGACTTAAAAAGCTCACTGAAGTTCCCCTTGAAGTAAGAATGGGAGGGACAGGGCGAAGGAGAGGAATGGACGAGAGGTGAGCCTAGAGGCAGGAGAATCTGCACTGGTCATTCCTGCACGGCCATCCATTTTCCCCTTTTGCCTTCCCTCCCTTCATAGCTTCCTTACTTTCCCAAAACCCCCGCAGCCAGGGGCCTGTTCTGGCAACCGTTTACCCTCCTTGTCCACCGTGCACCCCACACGCTGGATAATTTCAAGGAAGAGTGTCGGACGGTCCCCCACGGGACGAGTGAAGACCTGCGAAAGAGACGAGCAACAAGGACACGGCGTTGCTCAAGGAATTTTCTTGTGGAAAAGAAGAAAAGAGGGGACGAAGGAGACCCAAAGAAAGAGAGCAAGAAAAAAGCGGGCGTCTTCCTCTGCTCACCTGAAGCAGCACGCCCTGGTCGTCCTTGTCCACGAGTAGGCCCAACTCCTCGACGCAGGCTAGCTCTTCATCTAATTTTTCAGGTTAAAAAAGAAGAACCAGAGTCAAGAGAACGCCCTCTTTTGCGCTCTCCCTCTTTCCTGATATTTATTGCTACCAGGTGCTCCTGTCGACACTCACCAGTCAGCACTCCAGGCCCGATTTTTGCGGGTAAGGACTGATAGTATTCGCGGGAGGCTCTAGGCATGAAATCGAAGCCTATAGGAGAGGCGACAGGGGGCGGAAAAGGGAGGATGAGGGAGAGAAAAGGCAGGGGATACGGGGAGGAAAGTGAGGCCAGGACGCCCAAAGCGCTCTAACGATAAAAGAAGGAGGGCTGAAAGGGGGAGGGGAAAGGAAGCAAATGGAAAAAAAGCATGGGAAGAAACTGACGAGGATAAGAACAAGCCCCCCCCCTTCCTCAAGAGAAAGCCAGACCCCCCCTTCCTAAACAGAAAGCCAGACCCCCCCCTTGCTAAACAGAAAGCCCCACCTCCCAAGTGAGTCCTCTTCTTGAGCTCCCGCATGGTTGCAAAAATGTTGTCAGTCTTAAGCGCAATGTGCTGCACGCCCGCACCCTGATTCTGCTCAAGATAGGTCTGAATCTGGGAACCATGGAGGGAAGGAGGGTGGGGAAGACGGAGTCAAGGGAGGGTGATCCAATCAAGCCTGGACGCGACTTTAGTCCCTAAGATCGAGGGAGAAAGGAGAAAAGGAAGGGCGGGAGGGAGGAAGTGGAAGAAGGGGGGAGGGAGGAAGGGCGCATCATGTACCTGGCTCTTCCGTTTGGTCCCAAAGGTGGGCTCGTTGACGGGGAGCAAGACCCGCTCGTTGTTGGAAGCCAGCACCAGACTGTTCAGGCCGCTGTCCACGGTGCCCACGTCGGTGCTGGTGAACTCGGCGTACTCATGCAGGCCCTGG